AGCTTCTGTATGTCACTGTATACACACACATACCAGAAATAATAAAAGTAGTAATATTTCACCAGGAGACCTAAAAAAGCCCATAAGGAGCAGCGAGCAGTGCTGGCTCAGAGTTCCTGCTGATGTTTTCGAGTTGTGAAGTGGAAATAGAGGCGCAATTGTTTTTTATTCATGTAATTAAATATAATAACAACAAGCAAAAAAGTCATCCTCAGGAGATGCAGACATCAGGTGTCAGAAGCTGTTATGCTTTAAAAGATCAAAAACACTGTTTGTTCTGGAAACTGCATCTCTAGCTGAGGTCGCTCACTCTCCATCCACTAACCTTCACCCAGGCTGTATGTGTGCATACTACGGACGCACACACAGCCATACTCCAAAACACAGACACAAGAAGTGCCTCCTTGTGTGTTACAGCTTAGGAAGCAGAGGTCCACAATAAAATGTGCATCCCACAGATGTGCTACAAACTGCTGATTATGTGATAAACTCTAATCCATAATGACTACCTCAGGACAAGCAATCCTTCCTAGCACATTCAGAAATTTGCTTTCTATTAGAAAACCAATTATCTCACAGACTTCAGAAGCAAAATGCTGTTCTTACAAAAACATACCACGTTTCTGTTTGCCACGCACGCAGCACAACTCTGTCCTTAAGGGATTGGATTTCCTTTGGTTTAGGGTTTGTTGTTGAGATTAGCAATTCAAACCAAACTTCTGCATTTTAGAAAGGATACTCTGAGATACACAAAGAATCCGCTCTATTTTCAGACTTGAATGGAGGTTGGGGTCCTGGACACCGCTCAGACCCTTTTCAGTAGGGATAGGAATGCCATTATATTGTGACAACAGTATCAGCTAGCAAGGCAGGAGAGCAAACCTGTGCTCCAACTTACACTATGCACTTTTAATATTAAATGACAGTAAAGTTTGTTTTACAGAGGGGATCCAACTTTGTGAGGGGGAAAAAAAAAACACACACCATAAAGCATTTAAGAACTTTAAATCACATTTTTAACCAGTCAGTACTTCCAGCTCCATCCATTTTTAAGGTGGCACATGCACAAAGCATCCAATACTGTTCAATTGCATCTCCTAGCTCCTCCTGGTCCCAGACAGCCCAGTACACAGAACTGGGAGCCCAATGCCTACAGCATTGCAGCTACTTAAGGACACCTCACAGACCTGAAAGCTTCAGCTCTGAAGAGTAAACATTGTCCACTGAAGTCTTCTATGCAAACCTGAAGGGCAGTTTTTTCAAACAATCACAGCTGTACGACAGTTAGTGACCTATGGAGATCTATGGAGATCAAAGCAGTCTCAGCCGTTGCTTCTATTCCAAACTACCTTTCCATCAGCTAGTGTTAAGAACAGAGAGATATACCTCTATTGATCTGTGCAGGTGGCAGTTCATTACGTACACAGGTGTTCAACGTGTTTCTTTTTAAAGCAGTGGTCATCCATTTTAACAAAGCATATGCTAGGCTGATTTTATTAGTCATATAAAATTCACAGGTCATCCCAGATGCAGGATCAAGAACAGATGGTACTTTGGAGCAGAATGAATATAGTACTGAAAACTGCACGCACATCACAGCACAGCCATAGTGTGGTGCTGCAGCCCCTGCAGAGCTTTGTTTTGGAGAATTCCTTTTTGCTCATCCAGATTTTAAAAAGAACATCCAAGTTTTCTTAAAACTACTGCACTTTATTCAGTTTCAACAGTAAACACACTGTTCTCATGCTGTTTATCACAGGTGGAACCAGCAATCCTCTGCAGCCTTTTAGTTCAGGAAGGAATGAAGTTAATTTCAGACACCTGCACTCCTGAACTAAACTGCAAAGTAAGGAACAGCAAACTGAAGGTAACTTGATCTCTTTTTCCCTAAGAACACTCCAGAGTGACTTAACAGTCTAAAGCTTTTTTGCATGCCAGCTACATACCTTCATTTTGTCTAAGTTTTCTATGCAGTTAGTTATTCTAGTTATCTCTGTGTAGAGGAGCCCATCTAGAGGGCACATATCTACTAAATATTAAACAGACAAGCAAAGATCTACCAACAGATATCTCCCATTTTCTAGGGGAAAGTACTCAAAATCTTTTTGAATATATACCTTTTAAGTCATCGTTTCTTTAATGCTATCCAACACAGATCTGTACATCTATTTACATTCTATGGTACACCCCAGTACTACTGCTCCTTATTAAACCATTGCTTACGTGAGCCCCTGCCATGTTCCAGCACTGTCACAACTAAGTTCTCACTGCCTTGCAATGAGGTAAGAGCAGGGCAAGGCCCAGCTCCTCGACATGCTCAGCACAGAACATTCCATGGGATGCCTTTGGAAGTTAACACAGGTGACACGCTTTAGAGATATATGTTAAGTAGCAATACTCCCTAGCATAGGTACTATTTCTGGGATCTGCTTTTTATGCTAAGACATCAGTCCTCCACAAGGAGCGTTACACACAGATAATCAAACAGCATGCTTCAGCACAATTCTTAAAGTCAAGCTATTGCTTGTCAAAGCTGCCAGATTTCACAAACAAAGCAGTAACTCTACAAATATATATATTTTTCCTACTACCAACAGGTTCTTTTATGACACGTAACATGAAAAATACCACAAAGCTACACCTGATGAGCAAATCTCCATCCCTCCAACCACATAACAAAGCACATCACAGAAGTGAATTTAACTGCTTCCTTCAAAACCAGCTGGTCCCCGAATAAGGCTAGTAAGGCAGTCCATCCTCAGAGCCCAGCTCACACACCCAGACTCACAGAAGACACAGAACACAGCACTTCAATTTGGTTGCTAAAAGGAAAGCTGTGCTCCCAGGGAAGCCCAACTATGACAGTCCAACGTGGTCTTAGACTGCAAAGCAAGAAAACGAGAACCATCCAGCTCAGTGAACTGAAATACAACCAACCACCTGAAGCTGTCCTGATGAGCTGGTACTTCACCAACTGCAGCCTTTCACAAATAATTCTCTCAAGTGTCACACATTTCAACAGCATTACTGAGCCTAATGAACTTCTAAGATTTTAAAAAAAACAATATAAATGCAAATAGCAAATCACTTGGAATCTAAGCCAAGGAGAACCAGTTTCACTGTTGAAGAACCAAAAGTATCACAACCAAGAGGAAACTCTGCTCTTCATTTAAATCCCAACGATACCAAAACTTTACCCTATTCACTTATGCTTAAACAGGTAACAAATTTAGATGACACTATTATTTCTGATAGCAAGGATAAAGATGTTACAACTAAAACCAGGGTCAGGTTAGGCTGACATTCAAGACTAACAATACCTTGAATTTTCATGCACAATCTTCCAACCCAGTGGCACAAGGAATTACACGCCTATCTTGCACATCTGGAGCAAATCAAGGCCAGCTTTTAAGACACAGACCCACACAGCATCAGCATTAAGTTCTCAGATACCTGAAGTCAAAATAACTTATAAATCCATGTCCCGTATCATACATACTCTCACTCAAGCATATAAGGAATTCAATTCTTTATTTGATATCCATAAACCCATAAACGTTGCTATTCTATATTTCTATGCAGGAAGGCAGTTTTCCCCTAAAACATTATGCTTTTTAATAAACAACAAACTTTAATTCTATTGCGTGAAAGGGCTACAAATATACATTTGTTAATCAAGCAGACTACACAAATATTTTTGCTTTACAACTGGCACCTAGGTTACCGGTACGCTTAGCTGGCTCATTTTTCATAGCACTTTGCCCAAACAGATTATCACTCTTTCAAATATTCAAATGGGCAATTGCAATTATGAAAAAAAAAAAAAAAAAAAAGCTGAGACAATCTTTTTGTATGTTTGTTTTTCCCCAGTCAATACTCACAGAGCCCATCTTTATTCACATGCACGTTGCGTTTTGCTCTACACCAGTCATCTAATGGCATCAATTAACTTTCAGGTCTGGTACAAGCATTAGCAAAGTGTTCCTCCTGCTGCAGGCTGCCATCCTCCAGTAGGTGGAGCTGCCAGAGATCTCGGGGAACTTTAACGTAGGACAATAGTTCAGTGAGAAGTCCGTTAACTATGAGAACAGTGTGCATTTAATAAGGGGATAAATGCTGACCCTTTCCTGGAAGGAACCGTACAGAGACAAACCAATAAGAGGACTTGAAACTAAGCAATCGGAAATTCGGAACATTTTATATGAATGAAGCACATGCTTAACACAAACTATTTCTTCAAAACACAGTACATACGCTGATGGAAAAGTCCTATAGAAAAAAAACCAACCATGTCAGCACGTCAAAGCGCCCGGTACAAGATGGTGGATGCACACAAACTGCAAAGTGAGAACGAGTATTTAAAGACAGACCACATCCACGGGCTGATACTTCAACAATTTCTCCGCCGAATGCTTGGAAACCAATAAATCCAGCGGGGGGAGCAAAAAAGTCAGTCAGGACCTTTACTGGCAACAAAATACTGACTCTAAGTACACAGAGATTTAAAAGCAGAGCAACACTTAAAACCGAGAAAAAACCGTACGGAATAGATCCTAGGAAAAAAAAATTAGACATGTAAAGATCAATGAACACAATGATTTATTTAAAAAATAAAAAAAACGTAAAAACGACTTTTTTTTTTCCTCCTTTACAGAAACGTTAACTTCAGTCATGGGATCCGAGTAGGCTTTGTAGAAAAAAACGTAGTAGCCAGGTATCGAGTCCTTACAACAAAGGAATTCCCCACAGCCCTCCCCGGTTGTTACTCCAGATCGGCAAGACGCTTCCCACCCCGTACCCCCCAAAAAAAGCAAATTAAAACAAGACATTTTTCGTTGCTAGTATAAAAACGACCGAGGTCCAAGTAATAATAAAAAAATAGAGTCCATCAATGACTGTAACACAAAGTATGTGTGTGTGGGGCCCGGTCCATCTTCAGAGAGAAAGAAGCGGCACGGGCAGCAGAGGCGGCCCCCAGGGGGCATTTAGGAGCTGCTCCCGCAGCGGGGAGGCGTTTAAGAGGAGCTGCCCTTCGGCGGGCGAGGGAGAAACCGTCGAGAAGCCGCCCCGGCCCAAGGGGTTCGGGCGTTCCGGCTCAGAACGAGCCGCCCCCGTACCCTCCCCCGCCGTAACCTCCTCTGTACGGTCCACTGTTACTGCGGCCCCCCCAGCCGCCGCCCCCTCCGCCCCCTCCTCCGCCGCTCTTCATGGGGCCGTACGAGGACTGGTGCTGGCTGTAGCTGCCGAACCCGCCGTACCCGTTGCCGTAGTCGCCGCCTCCCCCTCCGCCGCCGTACGAGCCGCCGCCGTAGCCGCCGTAGCCGCCGCCGCCCCCTCCGCCGTAGCCGCCGTAGCTGTTGTAGCCGCCGCCGCCCTTGGACAGCCCGTTGTGGTCCCGGTTACCGGATCCGCCGCCGCCCCGACCCCGTCCTCCGCCCCGGCCGCCCCGCGAGGGCCGCGCGGAGCCGCCCCCGCCCGCCTGGATGTCCTCCTTGGGCACGGCCTTCTTCACCTCCACGCGGTGGCCCTGGATCGGGTGGAACTTCACCACGGCCGCTTTGTCGGCCGCGTCGTGGTTCTGGAAGTAGACGAAGCCGAAGCCGCGCTTCTTGCCGCTCTGCTTGTCGGCGATGATCTCGGCCTTCTCCACCGGGCCGAACTGGCTGAAGTGCTGCACCAGGTCCCCTTCGCCCACGTCCCCCTTCAGGCCGCCCACGAACAGCTTCTTCACCTTCGCGTGGGCGCCGGGTTTGGCCGAGTCCTCCCGGGACACGGCGCGCTTCAGCTCCACCGAGTTCCCGTCCACGGCGTGAGGAGAGGCGGCCATGGCGGCGTCCGCCTCCTCCACCGCCGAGTACGTGACGAAGCCGAAGCAGCGGGAGCGCTTGGTCTGCGGGTTGAGCACCACCACGCAGTCGGTCAGCGTGCCGTAGGCCGCGAAGTGCTCCCGCAGCCCGGCCTCCGTGGTCTGCACGTTGAGGCCGCCGATGAACAGCTTGCAGAGCTGCGAGTTCTCCATGCCGGTGCCGCGCCCGGGCCTGGCGCCGAGACTCCTCCTCCCGTCGGGGGGCAGCGCCGGAGGCTCGTTCCCCCCCTTTTCCGTTTTGCCGCTTCTTTCCCCCTCTCTCGCTGCCAGCGGCGCGGCTTCGCGGCCCCCGGTGGCTCCCGAGGCCCGGCCCGAGGCCTTGGCTTCGCCTCGCCTGCCCGGCACGAGGCGCGGGGCGTCCCGGCCGCCGCGGAGAGGGGAGCGGGGGTGGGGGAAAACACGGACGCGCACAAAATGGCGGCGGCTGCTGCTCGGGAGCTCGGCCGGCTACTGGTGCCCACACAAAGGGGGCGCCGGGAGCCACGCCCCCCGCGCACGCCCCCCGCGCCCGCGCGGCCAATAGGAACGCGCAGTCGGAACCGCCCGCGACTCATCTGCGGGGGCGGAGACGCGGGCGCGATCGACGGGCGCGGTGACCAATCAGAAAGAGCGACCTCCGCCGCGCGGCGGCGAAGAGACCGGAGCTCGGCGGTGACGGACGCGGCCGGCAGCCAATGGAGCGGCTCGGTGACGGCCTCCGGTGCCGAGCACCCTCTTCGCGCGCCGAGAGGGGGGAGGAGGAGGGGCCGGCCCGCGCTGCGCCACTGCGCCAAGCCCGCGGACGGGAGCCAATGGGCTCCTCTCGCTCGGCGCGCGCTTTCTCCCCGTCGGCCCCGCCCCCCGCGGGCGGGAGCAGCGGGCGGAGGGGTCGGCTCGCGCGGGAGCGTTTGAAACGCCGTGACCGTTGGGAGGCTGCGGGGCACGCGCCGGGCCGCCCCCCACCTCTGCGCTCTGAGGGGCTGCAGGCTGAGCGGGCGCTGAGGGAAAAGCTCGTGGCGTCCGGCTCCCGTCCAGGCGCCTCGAGTCGCTCCCTGGCTGTCTCCCCTCGTATGTGTCCGTTCCTAACGGCACGCTCGCAGCCACCCAATCTCTAAAGCAGCTTCTTCCTTTCTCCTCTAGTTTCCACTCTCATTCCCTCTCTCCAGCCCTATCGGTGCCCCCTCGCTCCTACATCTTCGCTCTAGAAAGGTGTTAGGAGCTGCTCAGTGGCATGCAAACCCTACGTATCGCTGTTACTCCAATCCCTGTTTTCTATTTCTCAGCTTTTTCAGCCCTAGGTCCTGCGGAGCAGATCTATCTATCCTCATCTACGATGAGAATTCCATGAGCTTGTTCCAAGATCAGTCTCTAGGGCGTTGCTGTCTGTGCAATTAGCTCTACTAAATACCACAGCAAGTTAAGAATATTTCTGAGCACTGCAGTATGTGTCAAACGCTAAGGATCGGAACCTCAAAATAAATAGTTCAACTTGCAAAAGCCTCCCCTTGAAGTTCCCCATACGGTGCCTGCTTTATATCCCAGTTCTTGGCCTCCCAAAGCTGGTGGTGCCGTTTCATTCCCCGTGCCATCCAAGCACATGGGTTCCATCCTCTCTTATCGCTTATTGTAAAAACTATGTAGCCCTTCCCAAACTAAATCTTAAGTAGAAAATCACGCATGAGAACTTTATAGACCATTAATAATTAGCAATGAAAGGGAAGAAAAATTACAAAGAGCTAATTATGGCCACAGTGGATAACGAGGAAAACAAGCTTTTGTTATGGCTCACTTTCTCCCCAAAAACAAGACAGACAAGCAGGCCAAGGAAGAGATCACAGAGGGAAGTCACTGCTTCTTTCAGCAGGAGGAGGAGATGAGGGCCTTGAAATGTGAACAAATCAGCAGGAAAAATCAACAGCTGGCCCAACTCAGACATAACCCAGACACTTTTTTTCTTCTGCGCTTCTGTCTGATCGATTGATGACATGAAAACAAAATAGGAAAACCCTTTAAACATAAACAGATCCATCTCTTGCAGATAGAAGTGCCTCCTCTGATACTGCAGGCAGACCTAACTTCATTTGTCCTGCTGTGCTCCTGCGCACTGCCCACTGCCAACCACCATGAATGTGATTCCACAAACCTCATGTATTTGCCCCAAATCCTTTCAGAGTTCAGTCCCTGCACTCAGAGGGCTGCACATCCATATGCCTACACTCTTACCACCAGGCTCTGGCAATGCACGAATTTCTAGGCAGCCAAACACCACCTTCTCCTGGCCATCACGCAGCTCTTCATATCCCAGTTCTCCCAAGTCAGCCTGGTTACTCCGACCTGACCTCTCCAATTCCCATAGGACTCATGCTTTCCTCCATCGCTGCACCACATCACTTGCTACACATGTTTGTATGAAATCTGTGCCTTTAAGTTGTTTAGTTTGATATTTTAGTTATTAGAATATTAGAAATTAGGAAAAATTGATTGTTATCAGGCATTCGTTATTCCAGCAGTAAGCACTCTACCGGGATCCACAAGAGGGCATCACTGGTTAAGAGATCAGAAAACGGGAATTAGCAGAGTACCTTTCAGCACAGAGCTTCCTACGTTACAGCATGTGCTCGGTAAGAGCTGATATAAAATACACCACTAATGAAACCCTTACAGAATCTTTCATCACTAAAGAAATATATTTCTGCGATTCTGTTTGATGGGTCCAAATTTCTAAGACTGAAAAGGAATACTGAAGTTTTGGAAAAGAGCTTCATGGACAATAGAACAATAGTAAGTCTTTCAAGTTATAATGTCACTTTAATATAAGATATTAAATAATAAAACTCATACCCTTTAATTTGTTTCAATCACTTTAATATCATTTTTATCAGTGTTGCTGGCTTCCATAGCCAAAAGGTGTTGTTCATTCCTTATTAAAAACAATTTAAGCACATCCATGGGATATCTTATGAACTTCATTATACCTGTTTTTATGAGTGTAACACAGACCTCTAGATAGAGGTCTAGTTTCACCTTCCAGCAGACAGAACACATTTTGATGCCCACAGGATTCTGTCATGCAGACTGTTGGAGCAGTGAGTTCTGACTGACATTATGCTCTTTGGAGACTACAATAACATCATTTTCATATATCCTGGCTATATACAGACCTCATTCTTCTAAATGTGCATACGCAGAAATGGTCTGGAATTGAGGGGACTCAACTGTAATTTCCCAGATCACCTGGAGATCTACACACATTTAGGCAACGGCTTTTAGACTACTCAAGTCAGAGAGAGACTGTAAGACTTTTAGAAGCTTCTCTCCCACTAAATCAGCACTCCAGGCACACTGCAACTTTGCAGTTCATAGGAAGAAATTTTAGATCAAACACGCAGCAGCAACAGAAACTTCCCCATCCTGGCCCTTTGATTAAACTAGAACTGTGAAGAACTTCATAAAAGAGATACAACCTTCCTTGATAGAATTATTGCTTGACTTTTTTTTTTTTTTTTTTTTTAAACAAGATATTTGTCTTTCATCCTGTTCTGCTCTTTGTACCTTAATCTGCAGAAACATTAAGACTGTGATCTTTCTTCTGAGACTGTCATGAATTACCACTGGATGCAATGGGGCTTCCATGGAAGAAGACTGATTAAAATGCACTGCAGGAAACTAAAGAAGTCTTTTGCCTATCTAAAGTTTGAACAGGACACTCCCTGGGATAGAAGTTTCTGCTCCATGCAAATTCAGATGAGGAATAAAACACTTTACCCCTCTGCTTTAGTTACTTAATGCAGAACAAGATAAAAAGGTAACTACAGAATAACCCACAAGAACGGTTTATTCAGCAAGTACTATCAAAAGCTCACCTTCCTGAACAAAATTTTCCCTGAGCACTTTGTAAGGGAACAGTGCTGAAAGAAAGGAACTCATCTTTGTGAAGGGTAAAGGGGAAAGTCATCAGATCATGGTAATTGGATCCTCTTTTTTGGACTTACATTACTATTTTTCTTTAACTACTGCCCTCTCCTCTCCTGTCTGAAGCTGTTTCTCCCCTTTCATCTTTCCACTCTTCTGTCAGAATTGATGATTTCCTTTCTTCTCTTTCCTAAAAGTTTATGTAAGAGCTGGTCATAACTTGGAGTGATGGGATGAAAATACATCAGGGAGATACAGTCTGAAAAGTTACAAAAAACGCATCAAGGATCAAAGAGTCTCTAGCAATGCTGAGACAGATGTGAAAGGGTAGATTATTTACTAGATTTTGGACTAAGATAGACCAGCATCGTAAGTTTTGCATAAGGAAGAACAAGCCTGGAGCCAACCACAATTTTGGTCATGTTCAGATCTTCAGACCTGCAACCCTTTCTTTATGTGCTTCATGTTTAACTTAAAATACCAGATTTCTTTTTTCTATGATCTATTTGTGGGCCACATCTATTTCTTGCTCCACAGAACCTCCACTGGCTACTTTTTTTGTCTTTCTTTTGCATGACTGATGTTTAGCTTTGTTTGAAAACAGCAGGGGCAGCTATGCTATGAAGCTCAATATGTACCTGCCTGAAATCAGCTCTAAGATATCTATCCATGCTATTAAAGAAATTTTAAAATGAGGAGGTGTATAAGAAGTAAGGCTTTGAGGATCCAAAATAGCAATCTGGAATTCGTACCTTTAATTCAGAAAATCTAAATTGTTGTTACAGCTCAAAACATGGAGGAAAATAGAAACAGGCTTTGATGAAAAAAGATTCTTTTGATTACTTAAGTATTTCTTAATTAATAATTAGGACAGTAAAAACATTCATGGCATGAGAACGGCAGGGTTTGGTGCTCACAGTGTTGTTATAAAAAGATTGTAGATCGGGAACAAGCAAATGTGTGTGCTAGTCCAATAATTCAGTCTTTGGCAGAGATCACTCCTGGAAAACATCAACTGGAGGAGTTCTGAAAAGCTACAAAGAATTCAATCAGCATTTGGAAACGGGAAGCTATTATAAAATTTAAATTAATGCAATCACATTCCTATTTCAATTACTCATATGTCTTATCTCTTTTTCAGTAAGAAAAGAGAAAAGTGACTTGGCTGACCCAAACAATAAAGATGCTAACCTTTCAGCCAGAGAGTGCATCAACCTCCATCTCAGCTGTATGCCAACTGAAGAAGGTCCAGAAATTAGATGAAAGTTCATGGCACGATACAATTTTTAAAATGAACATGCTATAAGTAACTCATTTAAAGATAAAGTAGATTTTAAAATGGTTGACTTTTCATTCTAGGAATGACCTAAGTGAGAGGTAAGGACCGGAACAAGCAATCAAGGATATTGCTAAGCTATTCTTTAGAACTATGCAATAAAAGGGAGTGAAACCTAAATGCCACATAGATGTGAGTGAATTTTTGTGACAATTTTGCTCCAATTAGGAAAAACAACTCATATTAAGGATCAGTGTCTGAACTGATAGATACACATCAATCCTTCTTTATCTGTATGAGTTTTGGAGAAAAGTTTACAGTGCACTTTTGGTTGATTATCAGACATTGCTTTTTTGGTCAAATCATAACCTATTTGCTGAGGAGATGCTATTCAGGGTTTGATATCTCCATGAAGTAGGAAACCATGAAAGGACTGCGTTTTTCCATCATAGCACACTGTCTTACTCTTTGCAACAAGACCTGGCACATCTGCCACTAACGCAAGACAGGAAGAGTTCCCGTTATGTTTATTTCTCTGCACCCCTTTGCAGTGCTACAAAGACTAATGCTTATTAGCAAGAAATATTCCACATCTTTCAGAGTTATTACAGGTCACTGGAGCAGCTCTTAGCCAAACTCATACTAAGAACTCCTCAACAACAGGCTGTTACTGACACTATGCATGTTATTACAAACTCAAAGGTAGAAATACTTATTATGGATTCTAATCTTTCACTCTCCTCGTGGTCTGTATGCCATAGCAATTGCAATGCCTTCACTCTAACCAAGATGAGACTACACTGCATATACATGAGCCCCTGCTGAGCTATGGGCTGGCAGCTTCAGATGACAGTGCCCTGTGCTCTGTGCCTGTAAGAGTTAAATGCTACTGGTTTAAAACTACCACAGGAACATTTACCCAAGATTGTGCCTCTGGCTACAGTATAACCAGCATCTTGGCAAAGATGTTCTAACTGGAATTATTACTCCAATAATACTATGTAATTGGAATAATTCTGATAGGTGGTTATCAGTGTAATGACTCACATTCAGTATAATGAGACTCAGTACTCTATTATTTTAGAGGTTTTTTTGTTCGTTTGTTTTGCAAACTGTTATTGAAAACCCCAATAAAACTCCTAAAATCACACTGAAAATCCTACCAGATTCTTGAAGCACTGAAAACCCAAAGGTAGAGAAACCAAACTTACACCTGACAGTGTCCTTACCTACCAGTCACAGTCTTAACCACAATGCATTCCCAGTACTTTGTTATCAAGTTACACACTCACTCAATTTACACTCACTACCTGCAATCCTGCCTTCCAGTTAGCTACTGATGTCGACTGATAACGACTATTTTCACGTCATTTTTATTGAGCAATTTAGAAATATCATGACCACTTATATAAAGTAAATACAATTCTGCTTATCCATTAACCTTGTTTGCAAATAGACACTACAGCATTTGGGTGAAAACAATACACCTTGGGCCCTTCGTACCCAGCTGTAGATTCTGCTCAGTGTATGCACCTCTGACGTCAAGCATCAGCAACCCAGAGCAGCTACACCCATGAGCCTCTGATGTCCAATCATATCTAATTCACAACAGGTTACAACAAATTCAGCCCACAGAAGGTAGCTAACAGACATGACTGTATAATAAATGGGATCACATGTTAAACGCTTCAGCCCTTCTACAGATGGAGGACTGCATACAGTATTAGAAACAGATGCCTATGTCGATATGCAATCTGACCTTTGATTAAAATTTATAAATACAATCAGGACATCTTTTAATTTTACTGGCTTATTTCATTTATAAACAAATAACGCATTTTTATGGCTTGTTCTGGCACACGTCCAACACATTCCATTTTTAGGTCTTGATTCATTTCCTGGGTTATACCACAACCAGAGGCAGAAATTGTAAAGCACTTTGGAAAAGCTGTATTTTGCAATGTTTTTGACATAACCAAAATCAGCAAGAGCTAGAAATGTTCTAGGAAAGTATACTCACACTGCACACTCACAGCAGTTTGCCTAAAATTTCAGAATTCAAAAAGCACTCTTGGAATAAAAAGCAATGGGCTGAAGTGAAGAGAAGGAAATTTCAGGGCAGGGTTTTAAGTGAATCTTCCTAACAGTATATGAGGCACTGGAACGCATAACCTAGGGTCACCACAGATGTTCACAAGACAGGTTAGGCAAATACATCACAAATAGAAACAAAGTACTAGGAACAGAAGATTGATCAGGCTGACCCGAGAGGCCCCCTCCAGCTCTCTTTTCTACAATCATAGCAGTATGACAACTAACAATATTTTCTGATACTGAGTTCCAACCTGAACTTAGCACAATATCAATCTTGCTTATCCCCAAATCCTGCTGCTTCCAGAACACTCTCCAAAAAGCAGAAGCAGTATGACAGACTCCAGCATCTTCAAATGTTTCGTCTGCAAGTTTCCACTTCTCTAATTTAAGAGGGAATCCTCAACTTGTATTCATGAATCTGTCCCCACAGAAATAAATGCTGACTCCTGATCACTTCTACTGCCTCTGTTGTTCCTAATTCTGGAAAGCCACTGGACAGTTCAGTATGAGAGACCAGGACTGGGGGCTAAAGGGAGCCAGGTAGGAACTAAGAAGTTCAAAAAGCAGTCTACCAAATACCACGTCCTGAGAAGGACAAGCCCATTTCCTGTTCCACAAATATCCACTCTAAATATTTAACAGGCAACTGCTGAATGCTAATATATTAAAAAATAAAGTGATCATGGACTTCTATTGGAAAAAAAGCAGTAGTAATAAGAAGTGTAGTAATAATAAATCCCCTTTTCAGTATACGCTGGTATAATGTGTCGTGCTTTACTTCTCATGAAGATTATTAGAACTCTGGTGTAAAATTTAAAATAGCACTTTATAGTGGAAAACATGATGAATTTAATTGCAACAGAGCAAATGATACACTTAATAGGACATTGATATCTCCTCTCAGTTAAAAAAGCAAGAAACCATCTGCAAATGTTTATGTATGAAATCCAGCATAGGGAAAACATTTGCAGTGCAGAACAAATAAGATAATTGAAAACGAAATCGCAAGATAAGGTGTTTGGGCGGAGGGAAGCAACGCAGTGAGGAAAAGCCATCCCCATGACTACTGGTCCTTTCTCCTCCCTGCTCACTGCCTCTTCTTGGATTCCAGAGCGTGCTTTATTCCTCAGCAGCCTTTCTGCAGACTGGCGGATTTGATCACAGTTGGAAATTGTGAAACTGTGCTTTGTTTCAGAAAGAGAAGAGAGTTTAAGTACAGCTCTAGCAGCAGATGGCTCTGCTTTGGAATCTTTTATACACAAAGGAGATGTGTTTGCTGGCTTTGTAATCAACTCAAAAAGGGAAAAGAAATTTTGTTAACAACAGAGTGGATACATCTCGAATTTTTCATCAGGTAAGAAGTCAGAGAATCTATGAACCTGAGTGAAAAGCTACCAGGATATGTCTCCTAAAGGATAATTGTATTCTGTACATCCTATATTTAAAATTAGATGGAAAGTTTCATTCAGATCACAATACTTTGGAATTTAATGGACAGATGATGTTTGCAACCAAAATATTAACTAGCCATTTTGAGGGGGTGGAACTATGCATTTTAGGTAAGAAAATACTTAGAAAGTCTTTTAAAAACTTCTTTTAGTTTAGACTATGCTTTAATTTTTTCATTTCATATGTTTCAGTAATGTTTCTGCATCTAGAGGAATGAAAGAATCAGGCTATGTGGATTATCAATTCTTACAGTGAACTCTCACTGTCTACGGGAGAGAATCTTTTCTGAAATGCATGGATTAGGGGTTGAAGTAAGCGACAGACATGAGTTCTCTCACTGAACGCTGCAATCCTGTTCTGACATCAGCTGGAATTGCAGTTCAAGGATTCTTATTCCGCTAATATTATCAGTTTAAAAAAATACCAGTATGTATTACAATACAGTTCAACATGCTGCAGTGAGTTCAGGTGTAACTTATTTTTCTATGAGTATTCCAAATGTTTAAACAAGACAGGTATAAGTGTTTCATTGTCAAGGAACTGTTTAAATTGCCTTTCAGAATGACATGCACTAAAGTGAGCACTTTTTAACTCAGAATATGCAGCAAACAGTGAAAAGAAATTGATCTTTTTTTTTCTTTTTTTTGAGTGAAGAATGACAACGTGGATGATGAGCGTGCTTAAAGCTAGTGTACTGAGAGAGCTGCCCAGAGGGCCAGCATGGGGATTTATCCTTAATGGCAGGCATTGCCAAGGGGACCCCCATGTCCACAATGAATTACTGGGAGAGGACACACAACCCTCACTACCAAACTCTTTTGCAGTCATGGATAAGTAAGTGAGAGGAGCAAAATATACATAAAATATTACAAGCATGGCTCAGCCTCATGACCTCCTAGTCCCTGCAGTTTCTCCTGCTGACATAAATAGCAGGAAAGAACAGAGCTTTCTTTCAGGGTATCTCTTTCAAAGCCAGAGCACCCTGCTAACACCTCATCTTTTCCTAAACAGCAGCTCTCAGGCTAGCCAGGTGAATACTGCAGGCAGTGCAAAGAGGAACATCACCACTGGGACGAAGCAGCCAGGCACTGGACTCTTACACATCTGGAAGTGACAGCAAAGCTCATCAGGGCAACAGGCTCCTTGTCCTTCCATGCATTCTTCTTATGCTAAATCCAGCCAGGCAATTAGTGCTATTCTAGGGAGAAGCAGTTCGCAGTGCATTCAAGGAAATATGTTACTGCTGTAATGCCTAACGGCCTGATGACCAAAGCACATCACCTATTTGTGCTAGCTTCAGAATCCCTTCACTTTTGCCTGAACTCAATAAGAGGAGTTTTTCCAAGTCAGTGCACACCAATTAGGTACGTAGCTCTTTTCCTGATCTACTGGGCTCCAGACACCAGTGAGAGACTACAAAGTCCAACCAAGCCACTGGACTTTAACGGCTCTTAAAGCCTTGTTGACTGAGTTCTTATGCCATTCCTTCACTATAGCTGAAGCAGGGCCAACTGACCCCATTCAAGAAGACTCTGGGTTTAATGTTAGACCTACTACAAATTAAGGCATAGTTGGAACATCAAACTACATATGGGCACATAGATCTACAGCCACTTTTCATTCTTGCATGACTACAGTAAAATATACTATTAAGGTATATTTTAATCAGAAGGATAGTGATAACAGATTCTACAAAAGCTTGTTTGTTTTTTAAACAAACAATTTCAAATTCTTAATTTGAAGAACACAAAGCAGAAGTATGAGAACAAAGCAGTTCTGGATATAACTTTATGTGTAATATTCTTTGGGTAGCTGCAGGAAATGAAACAGTTATAAAATCATATTTTCCAGTTTACTCTTGGACTTGCACAAGGCACCAAACAGTTTTTATTCCATAGTGATTAAGCAGCAACAATCATTTCTGTAAAAAGGTTGATGAAACTTATACATATAAAAATTGCTTTTAGTAATAATAAAATGCCCACCCATCCCTTCCTCTTTTTGCACATTCTCTAACATTCCAGTGCTTCTCCATTCCATTCTCTCCACAGGGCTCACAAAGCTATGGTATTTATTACTAGGGATGACAACTGACCTTCTTCCAGCAAGTTTTCCAATAATTCCTACTTCAAGAAGGGATTACGGTGAGTTAATGGTTGAGTTTTGAAAGTTGTATGCATAGTACATATCAACCCATCTTTAAATTTCAAAACTAACTCTTCCATCCTCCTTTTTCATTTCTCCAGGTTGGAAACAGTCCTTTTCTGGCTAGAAAGCTGGTGAGCCTTTGATTTCAGATTAACTTTTTAACTCAGTGATAAATTCAGACCCACCAAGATTTCCTGCTGAAGCTAATTCTTCCCATTACTATTATTTCATAGCAGCAGAATTGTATTGAATCACATTCTTTGCCTGACACCTGCTAGAACTGAAAAAATAGTCCACTCTGTATCTCTGGAGTACATGTTATATTTAATCACAGAAAATGTTGGGGGTATCATTTGACAGCCTTGTACAACAGTGAACAGAGTGTAGGGAAATGAAAAACAATCTCTGGCAACTACAGATAGGAAACAGTCAGGTGTGTAACCAAGATGTGATCATAGTTAACACTTTTGCGTAGTTAACACTTTTCTCAAATTGGATTGAGGAAAAAGGACATACTATCTCTAACACGCAAGCAAAACAAGGTACTCCCTTAAAGATGTCATTCATGAAGGTGTTGAATAGCACTTAAGCTCAAGGCGCATCATTCTGGATTAAACCAGAGGGATTTGGTGAATTAGTTCACACTGCTTTGTAGTTTTAGAGAAAATATGATGTCTAAACTAGCAATGCAATGGCAGGATCCAATTCTTCATTTTTCTGATAACAAAAAAGCAACAGACTGCTCTCACTGGAATTCTCAAACCTTGCTAAATCTTTGGCTGAGATAGATCTTAAAATGTTTAATTTTGAAAAGCAACACTTATCTACTGTTAGTAGAACAGGATTTGTATGAAAACGTTCATGCAGTGTTAAACAGAGCTGTCAGTGTTATTTCTCAAACATCACAGTCATAGCTCTCTAACAGTCAGTACAGAGCCTTAGAAAAAGGAGGATCAGCCTCCACCCACCTTTCTGTACAAAGCCACTAATACGACGCCATTTGCTTTTCTTTTCAGAACTCATCAGTGCAGTAAGTAATTACATCAGACTTGCTTTAAACTTCAAGGACACCAAATACAAAGATTTAATCTTTGTATTTAAAGATTTAATTGCCACCTTGCGAAGCTCCAAGAAAAACATCTTCTAAGTACTAAGGGGATGGACATATTCACAGATGCAAAACCTTCCTAGCTAGGTAGTCTGGGAAATGCTTCACAATGGATAAAGCCATTCAGCATCCTTCAGAGATTTTCCCTAATCAAACTATCCCAAACAGCAGCTATTCTCAGTTTTTGAACTTTGATACATGCCAACCTTCCTTCCCTGCAGTATTCTTGCTTATTACAGCCTACATATTAGTTACAATGGTGGGGCTTTTTGGAAACCTTTGCCTGATTGTTATAATAAAGAAACAGAAAGAAGCTCAAAATGTTACAAACATTCTGATTGCCAACCTCTCCTTATCAGATGTATTGATTTGTATCATGTGTATTCCTGTCACAGCTGCATACACTTTAATGGATTACTGGATATTTGGGGAAGCTATGTGTAAAATAAGCTCTTTCATACAAAGTATATCTGTCACAGTCTCCATTTTCTCACTTGTACTGATTGCTATTGAGAGATACCAGTTAATTGTAAATCCTCGTGGCTGGAAGCCTAATACCTCACATGCTTACTGGGGAATTATTTTCATTTGGGTTTTTTCACTCATGATATCCATTCCTTTTTTAATATTTCACCAATTAACTGATGAACCCTTCAAGCACCTGTCCTTCCACAGCGATTTCTACAAGAACAAAGTGGTGTGCATCGAGGCCTGGCCTTCCATTACAGAACGTCTGATTTTCACCACCAGTCTGCTGCTTCTCCAGTACTGCTTCCCACTGGGGTTTATTCTTATCTGCTATCTCAAGATATTTGTATGCCTCCGGCGGAGACACAGTAAAATAGATAGGATGAGAGAGAATGAGAGCAGGTTGAGTGAAAACAAAAGGATTAATCTGATGTTGATATCAATTGTTGCGACCTTTGCAGCTTGCTGGTTGCCCCTCAATATATTCAATGTTGTTTTTGACTGGAACCACGAGGCACTGATGAGCTGTAATCATAACCTAGCATTTACACTGTGCCACCTTGTGGCCATGACCTCAACATGTATCAATCCCATCTTTTATGGATTTCTCAACAAGAATTTTCAGAAGGATTTGATAGGGCTGGTTTATCACTGCAGATGTTCAGCATCACAAGAGGAGTATGAAAACATTGCCCTTTCAAATCTGCAAACTGATGTATCTAAGGGATCTCTGAAATCAAATAATCACCCTCCTGAGAATGCCTAAAATAACCCAGAAGCATCTTCTAACATTTTGTATCTTGCTGCAGATGACCTTCTGTAGCTCTTCATCCTGGTACCTCCTCATCTAACTGAAGTTAGAAGTGGTCTGTACTATTTAATTCAGCACAAACAGAATCATGTTCCCAAAGGCGTACTGCTAACAAGTGCTTTATGATGGTATTAATGCCAATAAACCATTTCCAAGAGACTTAAAGAACAATAACAATGAATATCAACAGTATTAACATCTTATTTTTTAATCCACAATTTCCAGGTCACTGTAGAAGTATTTCCATTGATGCAGCTGTCCTTCCTACACACCTGGCTTTGCCCAAGTAAGCCATGAGTACTGAGATCTCCTCAACTTCAGTCTTTTTACAAACTGATTTTTGTCTTTTTAATTTTTCAGCCCTGCACCATTCCCATCTCCAGTACATTGTTACTTTGCACAACAATTTATAAGTAGTTTATACTGTGAGGAAGGCCCCTCAAGTTACCCTGAGCCTTCAGTAGTACCTTCCTTTCAGCCCCAGCACAGAGTTTGCTTTCCTTTAATACCAGTTCATCCTACAAACTGTACTTTAACATGAGAAAACGTTAGAGTTGAAATTTCTTTTTTTTTTCCCTTTATTTTAAATGAGCACTAAACCAAGCCCCATTTGCTGTGCTGCAAATTTGCATCAGACCTCCGCTGATCAAGACAAAATATGTATTTAGCGTTTCTCCTAAAAGCATTGCATTCTCCTCAAAACCACCAGTACAGATCATTGCTTTCTCTGTTACCATCATTGCTGGCCTCTACAACTGACCTTCTAGAATCTCCATTATGAAACAGACATGCTATGAATTCAAAGTAAATTGGTTTTTAATCCAGATTATGGGTTTCTCTTTTAATAGAAAAATAGCTTTCTGCTTTAATTTCCCAAATATCTTTCCCATATCTCTGCAATAGCAAGAGGTCACACCTGAGGCATTTGCAGTTGTTTCTGTTTGACTATGTTTGGAAAGAGCTTATAGAATCCTTACAGTTGGAAGGGTTGGAAGCTTCTTCTGTTCTGCAATGTATGGAAGCCTGAAGATGTAGTATTGAATGCAGCTTCTCTCAAATTAAAACATAATAAAACTCACTTTCCAGAGTGGTCATAAAAATTAATGAAACCTATTCCTCACCCATGCAATAGTGCCAACATAAAAATCAGCTAAAATTCAGTTGTTTAAATGATACACTTTAGTACAACAACCCACTGTCCTAGAAGTCAACTTCCTTTCTCTTGTCCAAGCTATAAGAAAAATACTTAGTTGACAACTGCTTCCTGCTTCCCACTGAGCAAGATCTCACTGAAACCTACCAGGGCCTGATCCCATTGAAGTCATAAGAGCAGTGATAGCTGCAAGAGTAACAAACTATTGGCATGGAAATCAAGTATATGGGTGACAGGTATGAATTAGTTTTGGCATAATCTAGCACTTTTCTTCTAATTAGATCAAATATAATGCACGTGAAGCAGAGCACATAAACAGCTACAGCTCAAACATCTGCTTTCTGCATTACAGAAGGAAAATCAGGAGAGAGCTAAATGCCTAGTAGGGGCTAATAATCAGCTGTTGAGAGTATCTTACTATTAATGGTTCCCATTAATTCCAACCTTCAGTCAGCTCAATCACTGGGCTCCTTTCACTGCTGATACACACCATCTGCTTGCCCAGCACAACCAGCATTGAACCATGCAGAAAGCAATAACCCAGACAGCAACATTGAGACACTCCGTGCAGAAACAGAGGGGGCTGGTGTCTATTTGCAGTGGGATGTAGACTGAGGATGTAGAATCTGTTCTCTGCTGGGTAGGACTCCAAGGCAATGAAATGATTAATTAGCTCCATTTCACCTGCTTAACTGAGAGCAAATCTGATTCAGGAATTTCACTTTTTGTGGAGGTTCCAGTGCCCATGCAGAATGCCATCTCATCATTTCAGGTCATTCACAAGACAAAGGTCTGTAACAAGTTACAGCAGCACAGATACTACAGGCTGGGTTACCTTCTCTGAGGCTGGAACACGTCTCTACCATGGTCTTTTTCAGAGCTGAGCATACCAATAACAGGTCAGGGCTGCTGACTGAAGCGATTCACAAGCACATGACATTTACAATATGCTCCACTTCTTGAGTATTCAACACAAGAGTTAAGAATGCTCTCTCTTCTCACTGTGGCACACATCTCAGATAGTATTTATGGTTTGCATGAGGCCCAGCTCAGATTCCCAATTGCGACTTTGGACCAAGCGTCTCCCATACCAGTATTACTATCTCATAGCCATGCCCAAGTGTGCTTAGTTTCACAGTACAGGTGTTTTCAGTGCTTCAAATAAAGCCATGGAATGAACACTAGTCTAAATTACATGTTCAGAGGGCCAGCAGGTACTCCTGTGACCCTGAGAAGGCCAGGACTGATGGATGCTCCCCTGACTGCCCCTCTGTAAGTGCTTAGGCAGGTCATATTTCTGACATTAAACAGTTAAAGAAAAAAAAGGTTGCTATTGCTTTTTGTGACATCAGCTGTCTATTCCTATCATCTTGATCAGGGTTAAGCAATCCATTTTTTCACTCCAATTCTCAGAATAAGAGGTCCTTCATTACCAGGTGGAAGCTCTCTGAGCAGTGAGACTGCTTCAGACCAATGCGAATAATAACACTTGTGCCTTGATTTCTTTCTTGTTCTTCCTTACACTTTGATTTGATTCAAGTGCTGATACTCCATTTCAGTTCTGAGCTTTCAGTTATCAAGTATCTCTTAATGCTGTGCTTACAAAAATCACTGCTAACAGAACAGAGCACCATCACCACCCTGAGGGCATCACCCTCAGCGCTGAACCTTCTCTCACTACATCCGCTGACTTTATATGCAGCCTGATATCTAGTTTCCAGACAAATCAGTAGGAGGGAACTGACTTTAATAGGAATAGAATCAGATAACAGTAATCAGATAACAGCTTTGCTTACCAGAACGCTGTTATTTGATGTAACCTCATGTCACACAGGGAGCAGACACACGGAATCGCACCCAGGGAGGTAGCTAGTTCAGCTACCTGAACTCACAAACACCATCCAAATGTACAAAGAAATTCTTGGCAGCAAGGTGGGATTAAATAATGAAAAATTGCATCAGGACATGCTTGGGTTGGTTCGGTCACAGACCATATCAATATACTTATAAAGAACCATGTAAATTAATATATCCTTACATATCTTTGTACTTTATGGTTCATTGGTTTAACTGTAAACACACGTAACTAAAGTTAGATACTTGGAAAACAGCATTTATTGTGAGAATGATTCTGCAGAATCAACTTGGTTGATCATTGATTGTAATTATGTATGTGTACAAAAGCAGTGCCACTGCTGTGCATTAGTTAAATATTCTGATTCCTCCTGTCTACTGACAACCATCACCTGTAAAATACTGTCACACTGCCCAGCTGCTGGATATTATTGTTTATAATATTAGTAGGACAGTTCTTATGCAAACAGCTCTGGAAACTGCTTTATCATTTCATATGTTCACTTATTAGCTGAACAGAAACCAGTGACAAGTGAGATATTTGCTTTTTCTAGGGGAAAAGGAATTTAAAACACTGTAAACCCTCAGCATTATGAACGCTTAACTAAAACTAAAATGCAAACAGCTAAAGAGCATTCTCAGGGCTCACGGCACTGCCATCCCTTTTGGTGAAGATGGATAGGATCATAAACCAGGGAGGTTTCAAGGGAATTCATGACTCAAGGGCAGAGCACCTTTTTACTGTGGCAACTCACGATTTGTACTCAGATATCACCAGTGTGTTTGGAATTCTAGATGTTCTGCAAGGATTTCCAGTTTGTCAGAGTGGAAGTTTCCTTTCAGTAGCTCAGAAAACATTATCAGCAGAACAAACAGTGCAAGAGCTTTTCCGAGTGCTACACTGCAGCCCAATTCGTACATATTTGCTATGAAAGGAGCTTCTACTATTGTGTTTTAACTCCCTGAAATCTAAACAGGGAAAAAGTCTTTTGGCTTTTCTTGTTTAAGCCAAAATCTTCACACCACATTTTCCTGCATTATCACTATTTATTTCCACAAGTGATAAAAACCCCTTTCTCTGTTGGAGAAAGGGCAAGCAGAAATAGCTGCAGTTATCAGCAAGACTCAATATTACTTCCATTTTCTGTGAAATACTTCTTATTAGAATCACAAAATGGCTTGGGTTGGAAGGGATCTTACAGACCACCCAGTTCCAACCCCCTGCTGTGGGGGCTGGATGCCACCCACCAGCTCAGGCTGCCCATGGCCCCACCAACCTGGCCTTATTAGGCTCAGGTCCTTAATATTTCATAGAACATATGGAATTACAGACAAAATCAGCATCAGAGAGACATTAACCACAACACAGCACATCCTGCAGAATGGAAGGACACTTGCTTCCAAACTCAGATGTGAACCCAGCCTGCTGCCAATGAAATATTTTAAAACAGTATTTACAGTAATGTTTTCATAGTAGAGCTAATCTAAAATGAAGCTCTGAGTAACTTCACAACAAAAGGTCAGACAGGTTGCAGATGTAGTCAGTGGAACCTCATAAACTCCACAGATGTAGAATGACACTGTCCTTTCACTTCCATGCTAATAAGCCACTTAAAAATGCTCCACAGTGACAACCTTAGAATTATCTTGTCTACATTTGCTCGTTTTTAAACAAGGCTCCTTTGGCATACAGCTTGGTTACCATGCAAATGCACTGACTGATGTCTTTTATTTCATTTCATAGGCTTCCCTATTAGTCACAGGCTATTTACATAATGTGATGGAAGTGGCACCTTTGTGGAGCTGTTCTCTGTGCAGAATTCATTTCACCCTCACACCTAGTGAGGAAAACTTGCAACTTCATTTAGATGCTTTGGCTGTAACAGTCAGAAGAAACATGAATTTGTTCTTCCAACCAAGAATGGATACTACAGTCAAAAAAAGCTGACAAAGTTTGGGATCCCCCCATAGAAAATGCTTACCCAAATTTGCCATCTCGTTTCAGACCAGAGACATCTGCAGGGCTACTTACATTGCCCCAGCACCTACAGATCTCTCTCCCTACTCATCAGTCCAGGCCTACAGACCTACCCACTGTCAGGCAACAAAATGACTACCTGGGGAATAAAATGGTTTGTATGGTATAGTGTTATCAGATGATCCCCTTATTTAAATTCTGCCTGGAACATTCTCAGAACATCATCATAATTTGTAAAAAAAACCAAACAAAACAAAAACACCTCACCATGACTGTTTTTGTGATCATGCTGCTATAGTTTCTCAAGTGGTTACCAATGGAATCCATTTAAACCATGTTAGATTGTTGTGCTGGAGTGTGAGGTTTTTGAGGTTGTTGTGTTTTGGTTTGATATATAAATGCAACCACTGTTTTATTACACGTGAGAAGTAAGTCTAGACAAGAATAAAATTCAAGAAGTTTGCTGTGGATCAAAACAAGAAAGGAAATTCCAGAGCAGTCGTCCTACTGTCTTTCATCTCTCCGGAACCAACTACAACAGTCTCTCCCATTCTTCTGAAATTCTCCTCAAAAACTTACTTAGCTGCCATCCTCTTCCCTTTTAAGGGATTCTGCAGGAATTTAACAGCACCTTGCAGCCCTCACCCCCTTCCCACTGCTCCCTGAATGGATTCCAGCGTGAACCTGGATTCCACTCCTGTGCTGGCTGACAACCAGACTTGCACTCCTTCTCCTTGGGACTCATTTAAACTACCACCAAATACCCCCAAAACCATAGCCCAGGCTTTCTCCCCAAACTGACTCTCATCAGGGTGTCCCACAGGCACCACACAGCTCTGTGTCAGAAGTACGGCGCTCACTGCAGAGTCAGGCAGGGAGGAATGGCAGGATGTCACACCCCAGCAGCTCTCAATGCTGGCATCTGGCTTAGTGACCATAAACATTATTCTAAGGCTGCATTCTCCAGCAACCTTTGAGCATTTCAGAAGTTCCTGCCAACTGGAATCAAACCTCACTTTTGTAAGGCAGAATGCCCCCAAAAATGAGGCATATGAGGTTTTAACCATATTTTCCAGTGCTCTTTTTTAGGTAAAACACCACTTAAAACTTTGCCCATGTTTAGGTGTGCATTCAAAACCATGAGATATTACATTTAATTGTCTGTCTGTGCTACAGCTGAAGTATCTGAAGTCCTGGGGCTGAGTGGGGATGCAGGGCTGGCAGCATCTAATGAAAAGCCACGCTGAGATTCCTAAAAAAAATGGCCATGGAATTAGTACTGAAACCAAAAGGAAAATCTGAGTTGACTGAAAGGTCATCAAACATGGGGAGATAATTATTGCTTGATGTTCCAGGAAACCCAGGCTCTGACACTAAATTAAAAGTAGAAAAAAAAAAAAGCAGCACTGGAAGCCTTTGATGAACGATAACAAAAAGATTCTTTCTTTCCTATTCCAATCATGCAAACAGACCAAGCATGGAGATACTGAGGGCTTTATACAAGAAAACAGCAATAATCACGTAAGCCTGAGCACCCTGCTGAACTTCAAGCCTTTTTTCCACTGACATAGAGGAACAATCAAATATTTCAAAGGGAAAAGTCTTTTCTGTTGTTGTTGTTACTATCATTTACTTTTCTGACTAATTCATTTACAGAGTTGATTACCTTTTTTCTCATGCTGATTTGGCTCCTCACCTCATTCCAAAATGAAAATACACAATCTGCTAAGGTTCTAGAGGTGCTCAGGTTCTGACAGGAGGCTCAGTGGGGCTGGTGTTTAAAACAAAGAAGCAAATAAACAAACAAAAAAGAAAAAAACACTTTCTGTACATTTTTGCACAGAGGGGATCTGCAGCAGCTGTACAAAAAGCACTGGAAAATAGCAACAGCAAGTTAGGAACAAAAGAGGTTGTGAACAGAGAAAAATTATGAGCAGTCAATATAATGAAGAATTAGTACCTCTAATGCTAAGAAATCATAGCTGCTTGTACTTGTGGAAAAGCTGAAAAAATACCAACCACTCATTTAAGAAGGCTTTAAAAACACGTGGGATCACAGAATCCTTGAGAATGGGAAGGGACCTTCGAGATCATCCATCCTAACCCTCTGTGCTCAGCGCATAATCATAAATTTACCTAATTAAAACTTCAAAAGAAAAAAGCTAAAGAGCTGCAATCCCTTTCTGTAACATTCAGAGGAAAGGAATAATTTTCCATTTGTTTAGTTTCTTTTATCACATTTTTGATCTGCACTTAGTTACTGAGGAGTCTGGGAAAAATATCAACCGCTACTGCTGGAAACTGGGAGAACTCCTGTGCCTATATCCTGCAGCTGGCACTGATACCCAAGAAAATGTCCAAAGGCACTTCCATCAAAGTGACTGAAGTGCCAAAAGCATAAGGAGAACAGAGAGCTGCAGGTGCCAGGGCTGGAACAAACCAAACTTACAGAGACAAGGAAGAAGATCAGACCCCCAGCTTCCATGCCCAGGCTCTAGGCGGCACTTCAAGAAGAGAAGACCTACTTCACTGCCCAGACTATAGATGTGCTTTCTTCCCAGCTGGATAAGTAGCATCAGATTCAAAGCATATGCAGATCCAGGCACACGGGCTTGCCAGAAGAGGAGGAGAAAAAGCAACACGATTAGAAATAGGTCTGTGGAACAGGGGAAAGAAAAAGAGCCCAGTGTGGGACCTGCACTAGGAGGGACTGGCAGGGATTGCCTGAAGGGTGCACGGCACAGCGCCGGCTGGACTACCAGCAGAAGAGATCCACAGTGTGGGCAGCAGACATCTTGGCAGGATCAAAGCCTTATTTTTAAATCTGTCCATTCCAATTCCAGTGTTTGAAGCCAGAAATAGCGTAGGCATAGCAGGAGCACCATATGGGGAGCACACTCCTCCCCAAGATGGGGTGAGGGAGCAGGGTCAGGCTGCATGCGCCGTGCATGTGATCTCATTTCAGTGCTGAGTGTTCATCCAGGCTTTGGCTTTTAGAGTAAACATGGTGCTAATCTGATTGTGCTAAAGGTGGCATACAAGTAATACCTGCCTCGAGGAGCAGCTTGATTGCTTTAAAGGTAAAACAAAGTCAGTATAAAAGGTTGACACATATTCCTTAAGATCAGATTTGACAACCATTCTCCTGACATTATTAAATATAAAACATAGATGCCAGTAAATTTCAGAACCTCTGGATTCTCATCACCCAAGCAAGCTCTTCTGGTCTTTTTTTCCTATACCTTTACCATGCACTGTAGCACTGGCCTCCAAATCCACTACGACTCAATTGATGCAGCTGGTAGGAAACTCATGGGCATTGATATACATACACTCTCATTAGGTCTGTCTGGTGACAACAGATACAAAATTTGCTTTTGACCTCATACATTTGCCTAGACACATTGAGCCCCTGCCTGCTTCATCAGCTGC